TGTGTGTGTGTGTGTGTGTGTATGTGTGTGTGTGTGTTTGTATGTGTGTTCAATATACATATTAACCATTTCCTTCAAGTATTTCAAGAACTTCCCTCTTAAACACATGTCTACTACTATGAAAAATGTCAGTAACATTAAATTGCTTATTAAAAGTTCTATGCAATCGACTGACCAATGCGTTTTGTGCGTAATTTGATTTTGATCGTGTTACAGCAAATAATTTTGTGTGTCTCGTTCTAACTTTCGGGGCGCAGAAACTCAGTATTTTGGTTGATAGTTCAGGGCTATCTATATATCCGTTGCATATTCCGTGTAAAAAGGACATGTCAGCAAGTACACGCCTATTTTTGAGAGTCGTGAGATTATGATAATGACAGGATTCATCATAGTTTTTAAAGAGGCAATGGGACCGATAATTTAAGTGTTTTATGAATTTTTCTTGCATTTTCTCCAAATCTTGAGTATAAATGATATACTGAGGGTTCCAAACTATGCTACAGTATTCTAGGATGCTCCTAACATAAGCGTAATATAGTACTTTTAGGCAACCTATGTCTGAGAAGGGACGACTAACACGCAATACGAAACCCAGGCTTCTGTACGCTTTGTTTTTAATAATTTCTGTATGATCAGAAAATGTCAACTTGCAATCAATGTGAACACCGAGATCCCTAACACAAGCCGATTTTGCAATTTTAACATTACTAATATAGTATTCAAAATTGATTGGATGTTTCTTGCGAGTAAAGGAGATAAAAGAACATTTATTTATATTTATTCCAATTCGATTATCAGTATAATATTGTTCTAGACGGTTAAGATCAGCTTGTAGGCCAGTACAATCCATATCATTTTTAATTTTCATAAATATTTTGGTGTCATCAGCGTACATAAGGAATCGAGCGTGTTCGAAGCAAGCACCTACGTCGTACAAATATGAAGCGTACAGAAGTGGTCCCAGTATGGATCCTTGTGGGACGCCGGAAAGTATCGCAATAAAATCTGAGCAAAATCCTCCTACAACGACAGCTTGAGATCGATTGCGTAAATAAGATTCCATCCATCTAAGCAAGTTACCCCGGATGCCAAGTTCATAAAGTTTACGTAAAAGAATAATGTGATCTACACGGTCAAACGCCTTCTCAAAATCCGTGTAAATCACATCAACCTGAGACCCGCCATCCATGTCACTTAATACGTAATCGACAAATACTCCCAGATTGGTGGCTGTGGACCGACCCTTCATGAACCCATGCTGCTCTATTGGTATTGAGACTGATAATACTTGGAAAGGTGTATTTGAGAAGGCTGAAAAAAGGTCTTTGTAAGGTGTCTAGATGGCTTAGACATAATCTACTAATACTAAAATCTTAATAAAACCAACTATATGTGTTTCAGTATAGATAAACGAACACAACCCCCTAGTGAAACACAAAATATCTTGCAATAATTTTTGATCAACATCTTTCGTGGATTAATCAAATAGAATACGTAAACGCCAGAATTCGTAAGCTTATATGGATATTTAAAAAAACTGCGTTACATTACAACGACTAAATTGATAAATCAAATTTACGCATCTTTAGCTCAGTCAGTTCTAGGATATTGCATTACGGTATGGGGAGGAGCGGCAAAAACTAACTTACTGAACATGATGAGGACAACGATACCTTCTTAAAGTTATGTATTTTAAGCCTATTAGATTTAATACCGAACAACTGTATACATAGGCTGCACTAAAAGTATCGGGAATAGAATATTTCCACTGTTCCTGTCATATTAAAATCTTTTTAATTGAAAACCCCTTGGTTTTAAAAATCGAATACCATTTATTTATTTAAAAAAAGATTCTCGGTCTTGTCACAAGGTTTTGTCAAACTTGTTTAGTCGTTGAGAAAATGGAATTGACTCGAGAAAATTCAAGAGCGATGATTTATTATGACTTTCGAAGTGGTTTAACACAAAAACAGTGTATTGACTGGATGATTTCTGCATTTGGTGATGAAGCCCCACCAAAACCACAATTTATCGCTGGTTTGCTGAATTTCAACGTGGACGTGTCAAGCTCAGTGATGATCCCCGTCAAGGTCGTCCAAAAACTGCAGTCACCCAAGAAAACGTTGATGCTGTGCGTAAGCTGATTGAGGAAGATCGACATGTGACATACCGCGAAATTCAGGCAACTTTAGACATTGGCATGAGTCAAATACAAATAATCTTGCATGAACAATTAGGTGTAAAAAAGTTGTTTTCCCGATGGATACCGCATTCGCTCTGTGAAGAGCAAAAAGCGTCTCGCGTTACTTAGTGCGTCAGAACTCTCGAAAGATTCCACGCAGGATCCTCAAATGCTGTATACAACATCGTATCAGGTGACGAATCCTGGATATACGCGTACGAACCCGAAACAAAAAACCAGTCACGAGTTTGGGTGTTCGAAAATGAGTTAAAGCCAACAAAAATTGTTCGTTCACGTAGTGTTGCAAAAAAAATGGTGGCCACGTTTGTCTCCAAAACCGGTCATGTTACGACTATTCCTCTTGAGGGACAAAGAACGGTTAATGCAAGACAAAGAATGGTATGTTAGCATTTGTTTGCCACAGGTCGTTTCTGAACTCCGTAAATAGAACTGCAACCGCCGCATCATCCTCCGTCACGACAATGCGAGTTCTCATACCGCACACAGAACAAAAGAGTTTTTAGAGCAAAAAAACATAGAATTATTAGACCATCCACCGTACAGCCCCGACCTAAGCCCTAATGATTTCTATACTTACCCTAAAATAAAGAATAAATTACGTGGGCAGAGATTTTCATCACCTGAAGAAGCTGTGGACGCCTATAAAACGGCCATTTTGGAGACCCCAACTTCCGAATGTAATGGTTGCTTCAATGATTGGTTCCATCGTATGGAAAAATGTGTCAAGTTTCGCGGAGAATACTTCGAAAAGCAATAAATACATTTTTAAATAGTAATGTTGTGTTACTTCCTTGATTCCCGAAATTTTCTTACAGTCAATTTTAAAAACACATACTAACTCGCCATATGATCCAAAAAAAAACATCTACACGGGGGAATCATAACGTCATTAAACAAATTTATGTAAAATCTAAATTTGCTGAGAGACAGTACTGTGCCCAATCAAGATATATGTATAATTACTTAAATAAAATTTTTTTTTTTTTTTATAGGATAAGGGTGACAAACGAGCACACAGTCCACCCGATGGTAAGTGGTTGCTGCGGCCCATAGACATCTACATCTATCCTCTGTTACAAATCAAAATGTAGATGCGTTGTCACCCGTGAGGACTAAGATGGAATGCCTCATTTCCAGTAAAAAGGGCCTCCGGCCACCTGCACTCACCAAGCGAAACGCAGAGGTAAACTTCTACTTCACGCTGGTTTTCTGTGAGGTCGTGGTACTACCCCGGTTCGAGCCGGCCCATCCGTGCGACAGCAAAAGCTGCCGCGTGGCTCTACCACTGTTAAACTTTCACCGGCTCAATTATCGCGAATGTAAAAAAATACTTACCGATCATCTTAAAAAATTATCTTATCACACCACAGAAAACATTCTACGTCACGGAATTAAATAATATATTTGTTTATCAGAATAGAATAGAATTTGTGTGTGTGTGTGTGTGTGTGTGTGTGTGTGTGTGTGTGTGTGTGTGTGTGTGTGCGTATGGGTGTGAGTGCGTGTGTTTGTGTGTGAGTGTGCGCGTGAGAGTGTATGTGTGTACGTGTGATTGTAGGTGCTTAAAAGTTTAAGCATGTTTATTATTATTATTTTATGTAATTTTATTTAATTCTATAGAATACCTGTGTCAGGAGTCCTGACACAGGTATTCTTTTATACTTACTGGGAGGCTCGAATTACTTTATTATTTAGTATGCCTTGAGAAAGAAATAAATGGATTATTTTATTTTTTAATTTAATATCAAATTAGTCTTCGCGCATGCGCAACTACTACTCCCGCGCATGCGCGAAGACAGAGTAGGACACAATTTTTGTTTGGAATGGCTTCTCTAGTACGTAGTACATATAACTCAATGGATATAGGTATTTTATTAAAAAAAGAAACGAGAAAGACCTTAAAATATAATTGCAGCGCAATACACAATTTTGTGTTGCAATGTCCAACTTAAAACATCCACGGTATATGAGAAGAAAGGGTGATGAATTCCCTTTCGCCGCCTTCATATTATTTTTTATTAAAATTCATATTTGGAAGGATTTGCCACAACAGACACTCGGCTGGATGATTGGAAACCAAAAGCCACCACGCACTTTAAACAATGCTTATCCTAGCCTGTGTTACTTTTAAGAGAGCCGCAAGATTTCCTCTTCTGAAACAACTTCTTACAACCACAAACAAGACAGGATAATATGTAGGGTATTTTACGTCTGGCGTAAACGAGATAGTATACTGCCCTCTGTCGGGAATCATGTTTTTCTAGCATTTCCCATAATTTCCTTATCCCTCCTACAATATCCATAGAAATAAATTTTCTTTCTCCATCAACAAAACGAAAAATAGTTTTTTTTTTATGTAATATAAATATTTGTGCCTCAGAAAGCACGTAAATCCGTTGGTCATGTGCCTGATCTCTCTCTGGTCGTGTCCTTACCTTGTAGTATTAGTATCTAGCTACTAATAATATAAATAATATTAAAGTATGTGGGTCCAGTAGTAGTCGTCAAGTTCCAAGGGTACATAAGTGTGTGGGCTACAATGCCGTATCTAGGGTTATTTTCAAAGTTTTCCAGATGGGTTGGCCCCTTAAACGGCGTTGACCGATGAAGCCAATGTACGCCGCAAGAGTATATAATTTCAACTTCAACTGTTGAGGTTGAGCCATACGGCCAACGATTTTCGGAATGCTTTAGGTATATCATAAATAAAATCTTCTTTTTTTAATTCTTATTTAATGTGATAAATTAAATATTTTGTGGTGTGCACGGACCTATATACGCCAATGGTGGGTTGTAGCGCCGTGGTGCACATGGATGTCGGGGCGCGGCTGGGCGATGTTCGCGCGTCTCTCGTTCGGCGCGTTGCTTCTTCACATGCCACTTAATAAAGCGTTACTCGCCGCCAAATTAGCACCCGCGCAGATAGACAGACGGAATGCCGTAAGTGCCTCCGATTTTTTTAAAATTATATTTGCGCAACAAGCACTGCACTGCTTTTTGCTCATCTAACACCTCTGTAGGGCAGAAAATTTGCAAATAATGTACACATATTTTTTTCAATAGGCGATCTTCACTGTCCGTTCAAATGGGCAGGCAAAACACTTTTAGTGCCTTGCACATTTTTTTTATTTTTTAGACAAGTGCTTTTTAGACATTTTTTTTGCAGCGATGCAGCGATGGAGCGAATTTTATAGAGAAATATATGCGTGTGATGACCTTAGTGAGGGATCCGGGGATGACGCCGTGACTGGTACGCCAGACCCGGACCTCGATGACACTGAGGTCATCAGTATGAAAGAGATTGAACGTGCGATTCGAAGTTTGAAATGTGGTAAGGCTGCGGGACTAGACAGAGTTACTGCTGAAATGGTCAAGTATGGTGGGCCTCGCGTCTGGGACAGCTTTCATCTGCTGTGCAATTTGTGCTGGCGGACGGGGGATGTCCCGGATGATTGGCGATCCGCAGTCATTGTGCCTTTATATAAAGGTAAAGGTTCACATTTTGACTGCGGGTGCTATCGGGCGATCAGCTTGACCAGTTTAGCAAGTAAAGTTTACTCGAAGGTTTTGACACGTAGGATGCAAGAGAAATCGGAAAGATTTCTATGGGAGGCACAATGCGGATTTAGACCTGGAAGAGGATGCACGGATCAAATGTTTTCTCTCCGCATGATCACGGAGAAGCTTCTGGCTGCTAACCAGAAGATTTTCTGTGCTTTTGTGGATCTTGAGAAAGCATTTGATAAGGTTGTAAGGAAGAAAATGTGGGAACTGTTGCCGGGGTATGGTGTGGATGGTCGATTGCTAAGGGCTGTGCAGTCTCTTTACTGTGACTGTAAAGCCTGTGTGCGGGTAGGACATGACCTGTCACCCATGTTTGACGTCCAAACGGGCGTAAAGCAGGGTTGTGTCATGTCTTCCTGGCTGTTCATACTGTATCTCGACAGCTGTTTACAGAAGCTGAAAGATAGCTGTTTGGGTGTGAAATTGGGTGACATTAAAGTAAATTGTCTGTTGTATGCTGATGATGCAGTGCTTATAGCACCATCAGAGGCAGAACTGCAGGCATTAGTCACGTGTATGAAAGAGGAATGTGAAACTAAAGGTCTCCGTTTGAATGCTAATAAAACTAAGGTTCTGGTATTTGAAAGGGACGAAGAGAGAACGAAGTGTGAAATATGGGTAAATCAGGAATGTCTAGAACAGGTAAATGAAATTGTATACTTGGGGAGTGCTTTTAGCCGGGATGGAAGATGTGATTTAGATGTGGACAGGCGTGTCGCTGCCGGGAACAAAGTCAATGGTGCCCTGACTGCGTTAGTCAAAAGGCAAGGCGTAGCGAAGAGTGCACGCCTTGCAATACATAACGCAGTGTTGGTACCGACTTTGTTATATGGCAGCGAAACCTGGGTATGCCAGAAGAAGCATAAAAGTAAGTTGAATGCAGTGGAGATGCGATCTCTTCGTAAAATGTGCGGCGTTACCATGGCCGACCGAAAGCTAAACGAAGAGATTCGCAATATGGCAGGTTTGAAAGATGACCTTATCACAAAAATTGATAAGGGCGTGCTTCGGTGGTTTGGGCACGTTGAGCGAATGAGTGAAGACCGAATGGTGAAGAAAATATATAGCGCGAAAGTTAATATTAAAAGGTGTCGAGGTAGACCGAGACTAACTTTCGAAGACCATGTGAGCAAATTGCTCGAAGAGGGTAGGGTCAAAAGTACTCGGATACCTAGACGTGCATGCATGAAGAAGATAATGAATCTGAAAGAAGCGAAAGAGGTTTGTAAGGATCGTGACACTTGGCGATCTGTTCTCTCTGGCTACCCCGTCAGGGATTGTGCGTGAAGATAAGTATAAGTACAAGTGCTTTTTACTTTTGTCCGTGTATATTTTTAGGCAGAACACTGAAATGCTTTCTGCCTTCCTAACTTTCTAGTCGTTCTCTCAACAGACGACGCATGCCGCCAGACTAGCGCTTGCGCTTTTCGACATGCAGAATATCCGATAACCGTTAATTTCAGTCTTGCTCTCCGCAGTCCGTTACCGCAACAGTTGTCTCGCTAACTTTCCAGGATTATTCTCTCAACAAATACAACTGACACTGTCGAAAGTTGGCATTATAATTGGAATTGTATGCGATAAGGCTTAAAATTGAAAATCAAAAGCATCAAATTACGAAATTTTCATTATTATTTAAATTAATAATGTTACTACTTTTAACACAATGATAACAACAGAACATGCCACATGACACATTATAAAGTGAAAACTTCTCGATTAAATATTTTGTAATAGTTCTTACAAAATTATTTATTTAAGTGGCACAAGGTTTGAAAAACTGTGGAATAAGATTAGCAATCTTAACATTCTTCATTATTTTGATCATCAGTACCCCCGTTGTAAGATTTGACTTAATCGTAACGCCAAGGCAGATTTGTCAATTGCAGACGTCCAGCACCAGATCTTCGACGTTACAGTCCAACGCCGGTCAGAATATGTTACGCCTGGTATAAAAATATGATTACTTATAACGCCATCTATCGGAAGCCATTTATAGCCAATAAATATTTCACGAGAGAGAGCCACGATGCAGCTATATTAGGTCGGCCACATACATACGGAATTCCGAACGGGTCGGCCACACACATACAGAATCCTGTTTTGCCCGCAAAATATCGAACGGAAAACTACCGTACGTGTGTGACGGGTCATAGATTTTATATGAACTTGCTCCGTTCGGAATCTCGAATCGGAATCCCAAAACGGAATTCCGTATGTATGTGGCCGGCCTTATCGTTGTAGCACGAATGGGTCGGCTCGAACGGGGAAGGACCGCGCTCTCACAGAATACCAGCTTTAAATAGCAGCTTAACGCTGCTGTTTCGTATCGTGAGTGTAGAGAACCGGAGACCATTTTTACTGGAAACTAGACATTCTATCTCAATCCTCAGGGGTGACAACACATCTGTTTTTTATACGGATGTCTATGGGACACATCATCCACTTACCATAAGGTGGACGGTGTGCTCGTTTGTCACCCTTATTCTATAAAAAAAGCCATAAGACTATTCTAGACGAACAATAATACTTCTCTTACATCACCACCACATAACTCTTATTATATTATATACTGCAGATATTCGAATGGTTCGGCGTAGCAGCAGTATCGTACGCAGCGTCACTGCCACTTGCTCTGCTGGTAGAGCTGCCAGTAATGCGACTCCACCGTGAACTGACGCGACTAATACATACCAACAAGACTAGTCAGACTGTAGGTATTAACATAAGATAGCATAAAATATATACATAAAAGAATATATAAATTGTTAGATAGATTAATAAAACCTAACCAGACAGAAGCCCTTGGAGGGAAGAAGCGACCAACCAACCGGCCTTGGGGTTAGTGAGGAAAAGAAAGATATCGACAGACATGAAGACTTTTTTTTTACTTAATAATTATTATTAATGTGACAATGAAGCCCGAGAGCTAAATGACATCCCAGCAAAACTTCTTCGGCTAGACTATGAAATGACCACTCTCACAGAATACCAGCGTAGAAAAAAAGCATAAGTGATATTTGTATGGTGAGTGTAGACAACCGGAAAACTTTTTCAATCCTAGTAAGCCATTCCATCTTAGTTTTTGACAATGCATTTGCATTTTGAGTTTTATTTGATATTATATTATGTCAGAGGCCATGGACCGAAACAGCCACTGGCCATTACATGTTCTGTGTGCTAATATGTTATTCTGAATTGTATTTTGTTACAGCCTATCAAAAGTTCAATGTTGAATATTATAGGTTACCCTCATAAGTTGGCAACTGCGGTTTTTTTTATTTTTTATTAGGAAAATGTTGCTATCTATCTCCTGGATTGTTTGCATCTGTCACCTCTTACGGCACCCACGTTTCGTGATTTTATAAAAAAAATAGCGATCCGCCCCAGCTTCACATGAGTGATTTCTGGATCTCCTCCTACCGGTTCCAATAGTGAATCTAAACCATCCACCCACTCTAAACACACAAAAAATTTCATCAGAACTGTTCGAGCATGTTTATAGTTTCAGCAATTGATTTTTATACATAGAAATTTTAGCAATACTGGTTGGGTTATTAGGTCAGTCACATACATACTAGTAAATTAAGACGAGTGCCTACCCTCGAGTTACCACAACTCAATATACTAAAAGTTAAGTTACAGCATATATAGCTGCTGGCTGCTGTAGATGCTGAAACAGGCCTCTTATTTCTAAAAGGGTTTTTAGAAGAGGTAGTGCGCACAACGCCGCCCCAAAGCGTATTTTCGGACTTCACATGTCTTTAAAATATATACGTACGATTTTTTTTTCATAACTCAATATAATAATATTTAAAAGAAATTTCATTTTACAGACCCAGCAGCCACCATCACATAAAGTGGAGAAGACTGAAATGTGAAGTTATTATATTTTAAGAAGTATAATTATAATTATGAACGGGTTCACATCTTGGTGAAGGCATCAGTGGTTTGAGACATAGGTACAAGAAGCCCAGTTCTATGGTGTATTATTGTATAGTTACATGGTCTTTGTGTATGAAGATGGGTCAATGTAGCTACATGCTGTATTAAAATTAGAAAGACTTATGAGCTTATGACTTATGTATTGGCATATGGTTAGTAGCAGTAGTAAAGAGAAGAACCCCAGGAATAATTATAAACATTTCTATATCCAATACTATTAGAGGTACAAGATTAAGCATTTTAAATCTATTTGTTTTTCCAAAGCGCATTTACAATAAAGGGCTTTAAATTTTAGCTAATACCAAAATAGTATTTTGCTGAAGTTATAGCTCTCTATCATCACAGCAGACATTTTTAAAGTGAAACTTCTTTAGAATAGTTGTGATTTGAAACTCGATGAAAAGAAAAAGCGACACTAAAAACAGACAAACATATACATCTATAGGATTAATCCTGCGAGAGAATGAGATAGAATACAGTAAACAGTGACCCCTATTATCTGTTATATCCTTTAGTTACCATATGCTACTTTTGGCATTTGTTGAAATTGAAAACTTTTAGTCTGTATAATGTGTAAAGTAAAATATATATATTTTTAATTTGGTAACAATATTATAATAAATAAACCCTACAATTATCCTACTCCTGATACCCTGCATTCCTCTTTCTCTCAGTTTTCTGAAGATTTCACTTCAACCGCGTGTGAATTGCACACGCTTTTTTTTTAATTTTGTTACCAAGCTAAATAACAAACTCCCAAAAAATTAACAAGCAATAACACTTATGTACCCTTTTAAAAAATTGAGGGTAAGCATGTGTGCCCACAAAACCCAAGATGGAAGCGAGGAAAAGATCTCTTTGCTTTTAAAATGACAAAATTTTAATCATAATAAAAAATGTTGTGCCACTAATTTTGTAAAATATTCATAGATCTTCCAAAGTATACATGTATAAATTATTTAAATTTAAGCTAACTTAATGTTTTTCTTACTGTAGATTTCACAAGTTACTGAACATTAAACTTAAGTGTCTCCTCTTGAGCTATATTAGGTATAGTATTAATAACACGAAACAAAAGTACTCGCTTTAGGAATGGATAAGCATCTGCTAGTAGTGCTCATAAAGAATACAGTTCTCGTAGCGGGCTTATGAAGATAATTATATTTTAATATGGGCAAGTAAGGTGTGCAATACATATATTCCTGTCTGCATTGCTGTCTAGCTGAATGGTCATATATCTAGATGAATATTTAATGAAATTATTGCTCCAACTGTCTGCACATACAAATACTAGCTTTAAAATTATTATTTATTATTATTATATTAACATGCAGGCAGTTGAGACAACTGATAATGCTTGTATCCTGTTTTTGTCCACTAGTTACTCTTTTTGCAGTTCAGAAAGTGATTATCTAATCTATTTTTGAATTGGTTCACGTTTTGAGCTGAGACTACGTTCTCTGGAAGCTTATTCCACTCAGTGACTACACGGTTACAAATGAAGTGCTTTTGGGGGTTGCTGTTTGCAAAGCTAGTACATAGCTTAAGATGGTGGCCCCTGAGGTGAGTGTTTTCATTACGAATAAACAATTTGTCAAACTCCTCAATGTCATAATACCCATTTAAGATCTTAAAGGTCTCAATTAGATCTCCTCGGTCCCTACGGCTTTTTAATGTTGTAAGTTTTAAAACTTTCAAACATTCTTCATAAAACTGCCGTTTCAATAGCCGTGGTACTTTAGTGAAGCTACGCTGTACTTTCTCCAAAGCTTCAATGTCCTTGATAAAGTATGGCTTCCAGACTTGAAATGCGTATTCTAATATTGGCCTGATAAATGTTTTGTGGATCTTAAGCATCATTTCCGCTGTTAGGACAGCGAAAGCTTTTCTCACGAGGTAGATTATTCCCTTAGCTTTCTTAACAATTGTTGATATATGCTCTTCCCACTTCAAGTCTTCTGCAATTTTGACTCCTAAATCTGTTTGTATTTTAACATCTGTAAGTGACGCGCCGCTCAGTTTATAGGTAAGACGAGCGTTACGGTTTCCTATATGTAATACTGTACATTTTGAAGCATTGAGATTTATAAGCCATTCCTTGGACCAAATAGCTATTTTATTTAGATCATCCTGAAGGCGGTCGTAGTCTATTAGTGGATTTGTAAATATTTTAGTATCATCTGCAAATATTACATACATTACACTGTAGGCAAAGGGGAAGGTCAAAAGTATAATGTACAATACAGGGCCTAGAACGGAACCCTATGGCACTTCACTATGTATATCTATGTAATCAGACTTTGTTTCACCAATTCTTACTTGTAAGGTTCTCCCACGCAAAAAAGACTTGATCCAAGCCAGAAGTTTTCAGTAAAACCGGGCAATAGGAACCATATTCATGTTTAAATGACCAACCTCATAAACATGACTAAACTTGAACAAAATGCCTAAACATGATTTGTAAATAATTCAGCTTTCTATTCTGTATTAATTATTTATCACAAAAAATTTAACTGTTTTTTAAATTGTTTGAAAAACAGTACAGATCTGATACAGATAGTTAAATTCTAAAATCCAAAAGACACTCAGAAACTTAAGGTTTCACCCTTCAAATGACCTCAATAAAATCTGAACATATGCAGCATTTGCAATAGGTTGGTTTGTCATTTAAACAAATTATACCAAATTATATGTGGCCTACCCCCCATCGATCACTAATAAAAAACTAGATACACAATCCATGCAAAAGTTCTCTAAAAACTATCGCCATTTGTTTTGACGTAATTCTAGTTGAAATAAATATACATTAATGTAAATTCAACCTTAAATGCATTGCCTAAAGTTGTATTCACAAAGCTAAGTACAAATTAAAAGTGCACCCAAATGTTCGAGTGACAGTCATTCGGTAACACTGATTGTGTATCTAGTTTTTTATTAGTAATCCATAGGCCTACCCTAATATGTGTATAGCACGCCTAACAAATCCAAAACTTGTTGTTTTCGTTAAACTTGACATATCCTTATTTTGTACCGTAACCCACATATGGGTCATTGCTATTGTCTTACTATTGTGTCTGCAAATTGAACAGTAAAAGTGTAAATTGTACAAATACCTTTAATTGGTGAAAATGAGTTTTAATGTGCCTTAACTATGTGAATAATAAACATTTAAAAACCAATTGCGATTTGTATCTTTATTAAGTCCATTTATGTTAAACACCACAATTTCACATTTGCATCCTTCCTTAAACACTTTCTGGAATATGAACATGACCCTTTTAAGTGATATTTGAAAATAATATTAGAAAAATTTGAAGAAGCTGAACATAGTCAAAACCACAAAAGCTCCATCATATGATTAGCATAATCAATGTACATTTAGCAATGCAAACTTTGTTATAAAAAATACTGAATTATGAGGTCTGCTTTTAAAAGTGGTGGGTAAAGGTTCCCCTCAAAGAAAGTATTTCAATAATTGTCAACAATTTGACAGTTCAGGTATAAAGGTCCCTTTCCTATCACCAAAATTATAGTGACAAAATCCTTACTTGTTGTACTTACAATTAAGAATATTAATAGTCTACAGTTAAATGTAAAATAACTAGAAAGTGTTTAATGTTAACGGCGTGATGGTCCCGACCCTCCCTGCCAACCGCCTCTATGCCCCCCACCTCGTCCGCCCGCCCGACCCCGGCCAGCCGCTGAAAATAAAAAATAGAATTTTTTTAACTCCTAATCCATAATTTATTATAGACTAGCTGTTCCCCGTGACTTCGCTCACGCATAATTTATTATGATTGAATTTCATGGGTTTTAATTTTTAGGGTTCCTAAGTCTTATTCTAAAATAAAAGTAGCCTAAGTTACGTCTTATAACATCAGCTATCTGTCAGTGAGTCCGGTCAAAATCGGTCCAGCCGTTTCAGAGATTAGCCAGAACAAACATACAGACAGACAGAAAGATATACAGACAAAAATTTTAAAAATCGTGTTTTTATTATAAGTATCGTATATACTTTCATATGCATATAGTAAAAACCTGTTATTTCGACATTACAAACAGACACTTCAATTTTATTTATTTACATTAGATTTGATAGACCACAAATCCTCACTAAAGAACACCCATTCTTTCTAACGATGATTCACAAGGCTATTGAAATCAAAAAACATCCTAATTACAATAGAGAAGATGGCTGGATGCTACCATCTGCTTGGGATCCCATAATTAATAAAATTAAATCCCAACCCAAGCATACAACTGTAAGACTTCAAGATACTGTAAGTTCATACTGTGTAGATGAGAACAAAAATTAATAATTTTTAATCTGGAGGTAGCCGTGGTCAACTATGACATTGGGACATCACCTCAGTCCCCCCGCCCCCGTGAGCATGGGTGCTGGAAAGTGCTCAAAACGTCGGGAATATAAAATAAGTTAATATAGACAATAAAATCCGTAAAATTAGTTTTATTTAAATGTGTAGTGTTCGTGTAAATATAAGAAATCATAATAATGCCTAATGTTGCACTTATGCATAGGTTAGACAATGAAGCTCGTTTTTCACTATGGGATATAATATAATATATATTACATCACAAGATATAAATGATCGCTCAATAATCTATCTAATAGCTAATATCGCTCATACATTTCATATGGAACCGTTTACACTGAGCTATAATATATATTACATCTCAGGGTTGGCTGATTTAAATCAGACTGATTTAAATTATCTAAGACGTTAAAAGCCAGCCTGAGGCTGAGATGCAGTGTGAGAATATATGAAAATGGCAAGTACCTACACAGTAAAAATTATCTAAGACACTATTTCTAAATTTTTAGTTAAGTTAAAAATTAAGTGTGGTTTTTAAAAATTGGTTTATGGAATCTTACAATTATTTTTAAATGTTTCAATATCTTACTACTTACACTTTAAAGGAAGTGTTCGGCGTCCCAATGTCATAGTTACCCAACACAAAACTTAAAACACTAATATTACAACTGAAAAAGTTAGCCATAGATAACTATGACATTGAAATATAAAAAAAAACCTATTACAATAACCATAGGTGCTGTAAAGTAATCAAAATAAGTTAATAAGTTATGTAAAAACTAGTATCATTTAATATGTATTGTTTGTGTAAACATAGAAATCATTGTTTCATTATCATTGTTCATAAGTTAAATAAAATATAATTAAGACATTTTTCTTTTTCTATTTTTTTTATATAAAAGGAATAATATACTTATAAATGTTATCTAACGCTATTAAAACAGTAATATACAGTGATTACAAAATAAATTAATTCTATTATAGTAGTTACTTTACAAATTCAAAAACAGCCTGTTTTATATCTAACGATTATTATTTTTTAAAAATGGTATTTTTGAATACGTAACATATCAATGCAAATAAAAGTGCTTATTTATGGTAACCAAATGTCGGCTGGGCTTGTACCCTTATTATTACTTATGAGCTTTAATGCATAGATGTATAAGGATCTGAAGAAGCGAGAAGTCCTACAGAAATAACCTGAGACAAAATTTCGTTTAATGTTCCCGGTTTTAGGGGACACACATAGGGAATATGAAAACAAATCTTACCTTGTGCTCTTAAAATTGCACTTTTACCGCGTCCTGCTCCTGCACTTGGTTTATTTCCTTGGCGTTTAAACATCGGCGCGTTCTTCAACATATCCGGTAAAATTAAAAATCGAATCTTAGAACCCCTGATATAAACGTTTTCAAGCTGGGCTACACGGCCATCACGATAAGTAACAGTTACGAGCGTCATCTGACAATTCATATTATCCTCGGCTTCTATCAGCTTCCCGCGATAAACTTCGCCGGTAATAGTTTCACAAGTTACTACATGGCCTTCTGCTTCGTGCAGTACTTTAATAGGAACACCGATAGACATTTTAGTAATTAATATATGTTAATTTATATCAGAACTGACACAATATATCCGAAAACAAACGATGAAATTCGATATAATACAATTCCTAAATCGACACAAATACAAGCAAAATAAACAATGGCGGATAGATGGGCCATAGAGATTATGAGTTTTTTTTTAAATTAAGATTTTGGCATGGATGCTTGTTTTTTTAGCCATATCTTAATTTAAATAAAACTAATTTTACGGATTTTATCGCGTATATTAATTTATTTTCATAGAATTATTACGCATAGAATACTAGTACGCGCACCGAAAGTGAAGCAAGTAAAACTAACTCGAAACCGCGTAAGTGGACTCAGCGACGCGTCAGTGCGCAACGTCACGTCTTACGGAGAAGAGCTCGCGAAAAATTGTAAAAATTACCGTTTGTGTTGTAAAATATTGTCACAACGGTGATGATAAACATAAAAGAAGTAATGGTATTACATTTCACATATAAGTTTATACATTTAATTCATTATAAGTACGTAAAATTAAAAAAATATTTAGCTAAGCTCTCATAATACAAATGTTGCTAGTTGTGGGGAAAAAATCACAACTTTCTTTTAAAAATATTTATTTTCTATTTGTGTTTAAAACGTTTAATCGCAACGCTCTGTGTAAAACTCAAATGTTTATATATAGATACCTACTTCTATAAGTGTTAACATTATATTAACAATGGGTGTCTATTTAAAATTAATACGGAATGATCAGTTAATCGTGATTCGTCCACGCCATTTTAACGCGACTATTTTATTTTAATTTGATTTTTTAATGACTAAGGTTACGTTTTAGGGTATAGAATAAAAACTTTTTTATTTACAACATCATGAGATTATTAATAAGAACGCCTTTACTAACCAGATGTCACTTTACACCCAAACATTAACCAGATGTTACGTTAGACCAAAACATAGCCTATTTTAAGCGACTCCCAAAAAGAAAGGTTATCAATATGTATGTACACTGATTTCTAAGCTTGATCAATTCGTATATACATGCTGAAATTTTAGTGGTTGTTGTCCCGCAGCCAAATTATACTGTCTCGATAGTAGAGTCAATTTATTAAATTAAAAAATATTAAAATTAAAAAAGGGCAGATTTACTATAGTAATACCTCACAAGCTATTCGGGCGTCCAAACTAGTTTATGTCGTATCACTACGCTTGAGAATTCATGTTATGAACATTTATTAGTGGTCCTTCACTTTTTAGGAAGCGCGCGGTAGCACGGGCGATAGATGTAACACTACATTACGTCCAGCGAATTTTTTTCAGACTTTATTATAGTAATTCGGTATAAGCTAGCCTGTACGCCCGACCTACTTGTGAGATATTGCTATTGGTTTGAGATCGCATTCGAGTATTGTTTTCTCGATTGTAAATCTGCCATTTTTACATCTATTCTATGGTACTACTAAGGCAAAATCATTTTACTTCGGGAAAACAACCATTAAAATTTTAGCGTGTGTATTGGATCAATCTGTGTGTATATCCTTTCAAAAAAAATCTAAATTGATTTAGAAATTGTAGAATTAAAAAAACATTAAAAAATACACCGAAATGATAACCTCCTTCCTTTTTGAAGTCGGTTAAAATTAAACATTACACGATGTGCTTATTGTATTCGAGCAAATTAATTGTGTTGATTAATATTCTTAAATTTTATTACGTATGCATTTTTTACCACTAATATATGTATAATAAAGTTATATTAGTAACATCATTATTGTGTTTATTTTATTCCATTTTTTATATTCTCATAAAATACTTCTACTAAATAATCTTCGTACATAATACGTAATCTTTATTATATCGATTTTTTAAAATTAACCAAAAATAGTGATTTGCACAATTTGATTGCAAACGCCAGAAACTGGTATCACTGAATGGCGTGTATGTGTGCGTGTGACGAGCGTAGGCACATTCGACTCGCGCCCACTAACATAATGACTTTGCATCATTTTAACGCTCGTGTTTTGTACTGGACTGCGTTTCTATGCGTAATAATTCTATGCTTATTTTACTTTCCCGACGTTTCAAGCACTTTACAGCACCCATGGTCACGGGGGGGACTGAGGTGTATGATGTCCCAATGTCATAGTTAACCACGGCTACCTCCAGATTAAAAATTATTAATTTTTGTTCCGATCTACGCAGTATGAACTTACAGTATCATGAAGTCTTGCAGTTGTATGCTTGGGTTGGGATTTAATTTTATTAATTATGGGATCCCAAGCAGATGGTAGCACCCAGCCATCTTCTCTATTGAAATTAGGATGTTTTTTGATTTCAATAGCCTCGCGAATCATCCTTGGAAGGAATCGGTGTTCTTTAGCGAGGATTTGTGGTCTATCAAATCTAATGTAGTGACGGGGGCGATCCTGTACGTGTTCACAGACTGCAGACTTCCCGGAGCGTCTATTCTTCACATCAGCTATGTGTTCTTTAACGCGGGTTTTTATGGATCTTTTAGTTTGTCCTATATAAGAGAGACCACATTCACAATCCAGCTTGTACACTCCTGCATCTTGCAGAGGAATATTACACTTGACTGATGGTAAAAACTGACTAATCTTCTTCGGCGGCTTGAAATATGTTTTAATGGAAGCACGCTTCAAGATGTAGCCAATCTTGTCAGTGACACCTCTGACATATGGCAGTACAGCAGGCACTCGCTCGACTGTGGCCGGCTTCACTCGTTCACTGTGACGTAGGCGCGGGACCCGAAGCTTATTGTCGTGCAAAACTTGCTTGACGTGTTGGAGCTCGGCGGCCAGGTGTTTACTGTCACAGATCCCTCGTGCTCTCTGAAACAAAGATTTACCCACGGTAGCTAACTGTGAAGGATGGTGGTGAGAATCACCGTTTAAATATCTATCTGTATGGGTCTTTTTTCTATACACAGTGTGGCTCAAGGTGTTATCAGGATTCCGAATTACTAACACATCTAGAAAAGCTAAAGAATTGTTTGCCTCTAACTCCATTGTGAACTGAATTTTAGAATTTAAGGAGTTAAGATGGTCTAAAAAATGCCACGGTAGTTATGGATACGTCAGATTATAATTCTAAAATACAAGAACTTTTGTCGGATGCAAGTACGTATAAAAAGGTTAAAAATGACCCAACAAATAACACACTTAAAACAACTAGTGATCTCATAAAGAAACACTCCGAAAAATTAAATCTAGACGTAAAATCGATAATACCTACGTGTGCTAAACCACCGAAGTTATATGGGTTACCAAAAATACACAAGGCCAATGCTCTACTACGTCCTATAGTGAGCCAAATCGATTCACCAACTTTCAGATTGGCTCAACACTTAGCGAATATACTCTCACTGCTCAAGGGACATACAAGAGCACACACAAAGGATTCCTACCATTTTGTCAGCGAGATTAAAGACCTACATCTGGCAGACAATGAAACTATGGTGAGTTTTGATGTGCAGTCTCTGTTCACATGCCTACCTGTTGAAGACTGCATCTCGATTGTTACTAGAAGGCTAGAGGAAAACAACATGTCCGTAGAATATGCAGTATTACTCAGACACTGCCTTACATCTGGCTACCTATTGTGGAAGGAGGAGTTCTACAAGCAAGTAGATGGTGTGGCGATGGGCTCACCTGTATCTCCCATTGTTGCCGATATATTCATGGAGGACTTTGAGGAGAAAGCCCTGCTTACTTCTCCCATAAAGCCAAGATTCTACAAGCGGTACGTAGACGACACTTTCACAATTCTACCTTTAGATAAAGTAACTGCATTTTTAGACCATCTTAACTCCTTAAATTCTAAAATTCAGTTCACAATGGAGTTAGAGGCAAACAATTCTTTAGCTTTTCTAGATGTGTTAGTAATTCGGAATCCTGATAACACCTTGAGCTACACTGTGTATAGAAAAAAGACCCATACAGATAGATATTTAAACGGTGATTCTCACCACCATCCTTCACAGTTAGCTACCGTGGGTAAATCTTTGTTTCAGAGAGCACGAGGGATCTGTGACAGTAAACACCTGGTCGCCGAGCTCCAACACGTCAAGCAAGTTTTGCACGACAATAAGCTTCGGGTCCCGCGCCTACGTCACAGTGAACGAGTGAAGCCGGCCACAGTCGAGCGAGTGCCTGCTGTACTGCCATATGTCAGAGGTGTCACTGACAAGATTGGCTACATCTTGAAGCGTGCTTCCATTAAAACATATTTCAAGCCGCCGAAGAAGATTAGTCAGTTTTTACCATCAGTCAAGAGTAATATTCCTCTGCAAGATGCAGGAGTGTACAAGCTGGATTGTGAATGTGGTCTCTCTTATATAGGACAAACTAAAAGATCCATAAAAACCCGCGTTAAAGAACACATAGCTGATGTGAAGAATAGACGCTCCGGGAAGTCTGCAGTCTGTGAACACGTACAGGATCGTCCCCGTCACTACATTAGATTTGATAGACCACAAATCCTCGCTAAAGAACACCGATTCCTTCCAAGGTGATTCGCGAGGCTATTGAAATCAAAAAACATCCTAATTTCAATAGAGAAGATGGCTGGGTGCTACCATCTGCTTGGGATCCCATAATTAATAAAATTAAATCCCAACCTAAGCATACAACTGCAAGACTTCATGATACTGTAAGTTCATACTGCGTAGATCGGAACAAAAATTAATAATTTTTGATCTGGAGGTAGCCGTGGTTAACTATGACATTGGGACATCATACACCTCAGTCCCCCCCGTGACCATGGGTGCTGTAAAGTGCTTGAAACGTCGGGAAAGTAAAATAAGTTAATATACGCGATAAAATCCGTAAAATTAGTTTTATTTTATTTAAATGTGTAGTGTTCGCGTAAATATAAGAAATCATATCTTAATTTATCTCAGTAGGTATTAAGTTATAATAATCCTTTATAGTTACTATCGTATTAGTCTGTGTTTATAGTATACTGCCTCACAATATTTTGATATATAATATGTTGATG